CATTATAAACAATAAAAAATCCTTAAAATCATATAAGTCAGGATGCTCTATAATTATAATCCTTAATAATATTAACAAGAACTTGGAGTACTTTCAAGCATAAAATACGAATATTCTATAGATTACTTATAAGATTTCATGCAATTACTTAATATATAATCACTAAGCAATTCATAATAAGTTCTATCTACTAACAATGAATACTTACTCAGAAGCATTTTACACCCTTAAATTGTAAGTATAAAGAAAACTTAATAATAAATTATTTATGATTTCATGTTTACCCCCAGGGCTATAATCGGCAATTACAGCATTTTACGTACCAATGGCAAAATTAATTATCAATACCGCCATAATGTCGTAATATCGCAATGCCACAATAACACAATATTGAATAATATAATACCCTAATATTGTACTATACCACTGGGATGATATGAACGAAGTCATGAAGCATCAATTTGTCACGCGATCATGACCCAGACCCATGCCGTCTAATGAGTGAGGGTAAGTGGTAATGAATTTGACTGATTAGTAAGTAATGAGGTATGATGAGATAACTGGAGTAATGCACTGGGTGATGAATGTCAAGTTTGATAGAATAAGTATGGTAAGCATGAGGTCATGATAAATGACTATTTAAAAGTTTTTGGATCAGGAAGTGGTTCTTCCTCTTTTGTCTTTGCTGCTAGCTCGACGAAAGTCTAGCTTTGTCGTTAGTGCCCACCCACATGCCACTAGGCAAAGAAGTTGTGTATGGGGTGTTTGGTGGTTATGGGTATGTCAATAGCCCGGGTGGACAACTCGGATATCGAAAATAAGTGCTTTGATAGCCCGACTGAACAGCTCAGATATCAAATAAGTGAATAGAGTAGAATAGATCAATGATGCTAGGAAATAGCTGTTGACCACATAAACAGTGAGGTGATATCCCATATGTGTATTCTGTTGTAGAGTTTGATATGTAGCATATGATCGAGTGACAAATATAATATCTACGTGAAATGCAGTCACTCTAATTCAGAAACTGATAAATATATTGATATTCACATTTTCATTCACATTAATTTTAGTCGGTAAGCATAAAAGTTATTTATATTCTATTTAAAATCTGTATGACAGAAGTGAAATAAAAATATATTATGATTACAAAGGGAACTTAAATACGGAAGTCTGTACATTATAATAAATGAAGTAAGATGTCTATAATGTGAAACAACAAAGATGGCAATAAGTATAATGATGTTTGCACGAAAGCATTTCAACTTAGAGCACTCACATATGATAATGGGTTCAATTCAATGAAGTAGATAATGTTAGAATTGAAAAAGAAGAGTTTGGCTTTTTATTTTCTATAACATTGTTTGATGATCGCGAAATGAGTTTAATTATATAAGAGTATATAAACTATCTAGTAATTAAAACTGTTATACTTTAAGTGAAAAAGAAAGTTTCATAAGTCATTAACATACTTCTTAACTATATGTCTACTCATATTTGTCATTAATCAATTGAAAATTATATTTATAAAGACTTGTGAGAGTTAGCAATTATTAAATATTTATACCACATTTATATATGCTGTAATGATAGGCAATTGGTAGTTTTTTCAAAAATCCTACGCATAGTTCGCAAAGATGACAAAGTGGTGGCAAAAAAAATTCACGAATAACGCCATCGCCGACCTTTCCGAACCTCATTGGAAGACTATAAAATATGATATTTAAATTTATACCTTCAAGCAGTGAAGAGTATTTACGTATGGTTCAACTAGATAATCAATATAAATTTAAATATCTGATATTTAATCGTATAAGATTTCAGAGAGGGTTCGGAAAGGTCGGTGATGTAGTTGCGAATTTTTTTTGCCACCACTTTATTTCGGAATCTTATGGAAATAGGTCAAAATTTTACCTCGACCTCAGAATATTTCCTGATTTATAACATGCCCATCACTAACTAGAGCATCCAGTTTACTGCCTGCACAGAATCGTAAAATAAAGTCTACTAAATTAATCAAGTCAATAAATATCATCAGCATTAAATGTAATAATTTAAGATGTCAATTGCTTATTTACTTATTTATAATTACTGTATTTGGCTTTTTAAACCCTAAATATACGTGCAAGTTAATAAATATCTTCAGCATTAAAATATAAATAAAAAGCCTTAAAGCCTTATTAATGATTTATCAACAGGTTAAATATCTAAAATTATAGAGCTAAAATTATTATCTTTATAGTTAATTTAGCTTCAGTTTTTAGTAATAATTTTTTAATGATAATACTAGTGATTCATTATTATCATAAATCCGGTTTTGTTATTTTATTTTTTTTATTTTTATTTTTTTTTTAGCGGGAGCAATTCGGGTTTTTTTAGTGGGTACACTTGGGTTATTTTGAATTTTTCATCAGTCGACTGAACCAAATTCGAAAAAAATAATTAACAATATATTATGTTACTGTGCCGCAATAGCTGATGGCAAATATTGTTGAATAGGTTGAGACACGAAATTAGATGAGATAAATAAGTTGGGACACAAAATCTGTTGGGACATGAAATTAGTTGGGAAATGAAATAGATTGGGACACGAATTTGATCAGGATACGAAATTGGTTAAGATACGAAATTGGATGGGATACGAAATAGGTTGGGACATGAAATAAGTTGGGACACGAAATAGGTTAGGATACGAAATTGGTTGGGACATGAAATTGGTTGAGATACGAATTCGATTGGGATACGAATTTGGTTGGGAAGTGAATTTGGTTGGGATACGAAATTGATTGAAAAGCGAATTTGGTTGGGATATGAATTTGGTTGGGAAGCAAATTTGATCAGAATACGAATTTGGTTGAGAAGCGAATTTGGTTGGGATACGAATTTGGTCAGGATACGAATTCTGTTTGGTTGGAAGCTAATTTGATACGAAATTGGTTGCAAAATGAATTTGGTTGGTAAACGAATTTGGTTAGGAAACGAAATTGGTTGAGATACGAAATTGGTTGAGATACGAATTTGGTTGAGATACGAATTTGGTTGAGATACGAATTTGATTGGGATACGAATTTG